TCCTTTCCTGAAAAACTGCTATTAAAATACTCCGGAAATACTGCCAGACCACGCATGGACAGCTCTTTAAATTGAGCCACTAAAGTCTGTTATTTCCATCTAATAGTTTTATGCAGTAGGGATTTTATAGGCAAACACACCACACTCTACTTTGTTTTCAGATGTCTTCTGTGTATATTTTTCTGTCAGGTAACATTAACCAGTCACTAATGACGCTAAGAACATGTATGGAAGTCCTGAGAGAGAATCAAATGTATGGAACCAACAAGGTAAGCAACAGCTTTTCGTTTGTATAGTTTTGTGTGCCTTTTTTGCCTTACGTATTTATTTGGATTTGAATGTATTTATAGATGGTTCCATATCGAGATTCAAAGTTAACCCATCTATTCAAGAACTACTTTGATGGGGAAGGAAAAGTACGAATGATCGTGTGTGTGAATCCAAAGGCTGAAGATTATGAAGAAAGCTTGGTAATTTTAATGTATTTATCCTATACAGTCTCAGAGTTTCTGCACAGAAACACCTGCATGTGAAGAATGACATATTGAACATTTTAAAAATTGATGCAGCCCTGGCCAATGTTGCTCAGTGGTTAGTGTCGGCCTGTGCACTGAAGGGTCACAGGTCCGATTCCGGTCAAGGGCATGTACCTCAGTTTGGGGTTGCAGGTTCGATCTTCAGCCCCAGTTGGAGTGTCCGCTGGAGGCAACCAATTGATGTGTCTCTCTCATATCCATGTTTCTTTTTCCCTCTCACCCCCACTCCCCTTCCTTCCACTCTCTAAAAATCAATGGAAAAAATATCCTTGGGTAAAGGATTAGCAAAAAAAAAAATATTGATGTAGAACCATCAGTTACAGAAATGTGCTGATGTCCAATTTAATATTGTTTTATAATAATTTCTGAGTAAGGACTTGGATATGTTTATTTATTAAAAAAAACAAAACAAAACTCTGTTTGTTTTGTGTCTTAGCAAGTCATGAGATTTGCTGAAGTGACCCAAGAAGTTGAAGTAGCAAGACCAATAGACAAGGCAATATGTGGTTTAACACCTGGACGGCGATACAGGAACCACACTCGGGCAGGTCCAGTTGGAGATGGTATGATTGCCCACTGATGAGTCTCTCTCTTTTCAATCTATTTCACATAAGAGAACTGTTTACTTCCCTTCCCCTCAAGAACCAAATGCAAAAAAGAAATCTGAACCAATGTATAAATGAGATTTCTTTTGTTACATATGATAACTCATTTTTTTACTTTTCCTCTTTTTTTTACAGCTAAAAGTATGATTATGACAACTCAAGAAAATACACAGTTAATTGGACTGAGGCTCTAACCACAGTGTTAAACTTGTTTAAATAAGCTCTTTCTCTCCTGTGTAACCTTTCATAAAAATTTTTTATAATACAATACAGAACTGCTGGTTACAGAAGTGGTTTTACAGAGTTTTCCACCTTTGCCGTCCTGTGAGATTTTGGATATCAATGATGAGCAGACTCTCCCCAGGCTTATTGAAGCATTAGAGAAACGCCATCAGCTACGACAAATGATGATTGATGAGTTCAACAAACAATGTAAGGGCAAAAACCATTTGCTATCATTTTAACTGCAGAAACTTGCAATGAATCTGACTTCTGTGGTGGGATAGATCTTTAAGGTAGATCTGAGGGCTGAGGGCATTGTTTAATTAGACTGACAAGGAACTTTCCCCAGGACTCTTTTTATTATATTCCAAGAAAGTAAAGCAAAAGAAAACTCTTGGTGTGTGTTCTCTCCCATTTTAAAATTAACATGGTGTACCCAAAGGAATAATAGCTACTTTGTAGTTCCTACTACTTATTTGCAAGGCACTTAACATATGTTACATCTTAATTAACTTTACCTTTGGGCAAATTATTTAATCCTCTATTGGGGACTGTAATTGTTCCTACTCAGAGGGTGTTGTGAGATAATGTATGAAAATCATGTAGAATAGTGAATAGCCTGGTACATAGTGCTCACTGAATGTATCTACTATTTTTAGCAGCATCATCAATTCATTTTAATCTTCACAAAAGAAGGTGTGAGATAAGTGGTATTCCCATTTTTAAATGAAGAAGTATGCTCAAAAAAATAACTTGCCCAAGTCACATATCTAGTAAGCGGGTGTACTAGGGATTCAGTTTGGATCTAACTGCTCCTAAAATGAATCTGTTATTTCTGTTATTGCATTTATTCTGGAGAAAATTATTTACCCATAAGAATTGGGAAGGGGATGTCATAGTGTAAAATGAAAGACTTGACAGTATTGGCTAATAAAAGTTGATTGCATTTGGTTACTTTGGAATTGGAGTAAACAAAACCTGCATGCTTTTGTTTCAGCTCTTACTTTTAAAGCTATGTTGCAAGAATTTGATAGGAGTGTTTTAAATAAGGAAAACTCCATTCAAGGAAAACTAAATGAAAAAGAAAAGGTGATCTCGGGACAGAAATTGGAAATAGAACGACTGGAGAAAAAAACCAAAACTTTAGAATATAAGGTTGGTTTTGGCAGTTTTATAATGGTTATTTACGACTGTTCTCTGACTTAGCCTTTATGCTCTCCAGACCTGTAAATGCTCCTTACTGAGAGTTCTCACTTATTTACTTATCTTTATCTCCCCCCCACCCCCCCCAAAAAAAGAGGAAATGTGAATGAAAAAATAAAAGGGATATTATACTCTTTAATTGTATGAGTTAGATGTTAGCAGTCTCTGGCCCAAACAAGTGAGCTTTATAGTGGACTTTCTAGAGTTTAGCTCCGATGATTATAGCTTGGTTTTTTTTAACTTATTACTGGATAGTATGTATATGTTTGTTCCCTCATTTACCAAGGCTCATTTAGGGGGAAACACTCATTCTAGAGAGAAGTTGGTCTCAACCAATATAGTATTCTCTGTTCCCAAAATAGCCTTGAAAATAACATTTTAGGCCTGGTACTCTCCCTCTCCAGAGTACACCTGCTCCTTTTCTGAATCCCTCCTTGTCCCTCCCGTCCGCCCCCTCCCCCCCTGCCGCATTACCTTTACCCTTCTCTTTCCTGAGCTCCAAGGGCCCCTTCTTTTGCCTCTGTAACTTGTTTCCTGAGCCCATTTCTTCTACTACTCACTTCTACCTCTGTGACTTTCTAAATAAACTTTATCTTATCGTTTGAGTATTGGCTCTGAATTCTTGCTTAGTCAGAACTCAAGTACTGAGGTTGCTGAACCAATGTCTAATCTGATTCCACCGGTATAACACCTGGTGCCATTCTTGCCGCCAACAGTACAATTAGCTGTCCAGAGACCCTGGGCCTGACCAACATTGACCAACCTCTGCTAGCACAGGTCCAGTGACGAAAGACTTACGGCCAGACCAAGCAGCAGTCCAGTGATTGGGAGCTCAGACTGCTAGAATGACCTGGCCACTAAAGAAAAGGGAAAAAAAATGTAGGCCTGAATTTTAGAGGAAAGTAATTTTTACATTAAGTCATTTCTAACTTAGTCTTTTATTGAGGAACTTGTTTAAAAGTTCTCATTTCTAGGCATGAAGGTAGGAATTAAGATGAAATTTTAGAGGAGAACGCTTTCTCCATGATTTTCTTTCCACAACTGTGCTTGCATAAAAAAAATTATAAAAGGTTATTTTTAGAGCTACATGAAATATTTACATACCAATTATTGAACATAATGATCTGCTTTCCAGATTGAAATTTTAGAGAAAACAACTACTATCTATGAAGAAGATAAGCGCAATTTGCAACAGGAACTTGAATCCCAGAATCAAAAACTTCAGCAACAGTTTTCTGACAAACGTAGACTAGAAGCCAGGCTGCAAGGCATGGTGACAGAAACAACAATGAAGTGGGAGAAAGAATGTGTGAGTGTCATTCCTGTAGTGCTTATCACAGAGATGGGTGATTCATTTCAAATTGTATTTTGAATAACTGGCTGTATCTGGGTTAGGGTTTTGGCAGTGGTGGTGGCAATCAGTAGTTTACTGTTCAGTTCATTCCTTTCTCTGCCCTTGAAATTCATTAGCATTCTGAGGTATAGTTAATCTCAGGAAGAATAGGAGAACTATAATTTTTACAGAATAGTGTGTCAGTAATCTGGTGTACTTGTTTGGTGTAATTGCCATTGACAATCTATAGGAGCGTCGAGTGGCAGCTAAACAACTGGAGATGCAAAATAAACTCTGGGTGAAAGATGAAAAACTTAAACAACTGAAGGCTATTGTTACTGAACCCAAAGCTGAAAAGCCAGAGAGACCCTCTCGGGAGCGGGATCGAGAAAAAGCTACGCAGAGATCTGTTTCTCCATCGCCAGTCCCTGTAAGTTATTTGTAGTTGTGTAGAAATTTAGGGCTAAATAAAATGTGTTCAGATTAGGTGACTATTTCTATGAGAATTAATTTTTTGTTATATATTATATTTCTCAAGCTTCTATTTAATTGTTTTAATTTAGTATAAAAATGTAATTTAGTACAAATAATTATGTTGCCCTGGCCAGTTTGGCTCAGCGATTAAAGCGTCGGCCCGTGGTCCAGAGAGACCCAGGTTCAGTTTCCGCTAAGGGCATGTACCTCAGCTGTAGTTTGTCCCTGGCCCCAGTTGGGGTCGTGTGGGTGGCAACCATTCGAAGTGTCTTTCTCACATCTATGTTTCTCTCTCTCTCTTACCCCCTCTCTCCATCCCACTCTATCTGAAGATAAATGCAAAAATGTCCTCGGGAGAGGATAAAAAAAACAAATAATTATGTTATCTTCATGTGTTAAATTATAGAAAATAATGAATTGCTTCTCTCAGTTTTTCAGTCTTGCTCATTAATTTCTTTTCAATTTTTTTAGCTTTCTGATAACTATATTGCTCAGATTTCCAACGGCCAGCAACTCATGAGCCAGCCACAGCTACATAGGCGCTCTAACTCTTGCAGCAGCATTTCTGTAGCTTCCTGTATTTCGGAATGGGAGCAGAAAATTCCTCCGTACAACACACCTCTCAATGTCACATCCATTGCAAGGCGTAGGCAGCAGGAGCCAGGACAAAGTAAAACTTGTATCGTGTCAGACAGAAGGCGAGGGATGTACTGGACTGAAGGCAGGGAGTTGGTTCCTACATTCAGAAATGAGATAGAAGTAGAAGAGGATCAATGCAGCAGGGTTAGTGCCAGTATTATTTTATAGCATTATAGCAATAGATTTTAATCTTGTGTTCTTGTAACTTGGTTCAGAAAATCCAACAGAAAGGTGGGTGAGCTCCAATATAAACAAGGTCTAATTTTTATGTTAATTTGAAAGATCAAATCAGCCCAAAATTGAGGCCTAGCTTTTCAGCTGAAAAAGTCTAAACACACTTGGCAATAGAAATAATGCCTTGTGTTAAACAAACACAGGTGAGTAGGGCACATACCAGGGTAATCTATGCTTTTTTGTTGCATAAACTAATATGGGTGTCTTAGAGCACATTTGCCAATATTTTTCTTTTGGTTTCTTCCCCAAATTATATATTTTTTGCTGCTTTTGAGCTTTTACTTTTAAAACTTTTCCCAAATTTTATTTTGAAAAATTTCAAAACCAAAGAAAAATTGAAAGAATGGTACAGTATCATCTTTTCCCCTTACCTAGCTGTACCAATTGTTACTTTATACAGATATGTGAACATTTTTTCCTTGAACCTTTGAAAGTAGTCAGACTTCATGGCCCTTCATCCCTAAAGAATAAGGACATCGTCCTATGTAACCCTAATCTTTATCACACTAAAAGAAAGCTAACTTTAACTCTGAATAAATATCCTCTAATATAAAGTTCATGTTTACAGTTCCCCAGTTGTCCCAGTAATAGCTATTTCTTTTTTCAAGCCATTATCCTATCAAGGTAAATACATTGCATGTGGTTATGTCTCTTTAATATCTTTTAATATAAAGTAGTCCCCCCACTTTTTTTTTTTTAATAATTTTTTATTTATTTTTGTTACAGATGTTTTTCCTTTTTTATCCCTCCCTCCCTTTTTAAAAATTTTCATGACATTGACTGTTTCTGAAGAGTCCAGGACAGCTGATTTGTAACTACTGAAGGTTTGCATGCCCAGTAAATTGCTTTTAATCTCAAGACCTTTATTTCAATTTACAAGGGCTCGGCCTCATTCAAGGGTGTTGAAACAAATTCACATTTATATTTGCTTCTTAAGGTTTAAGGTAAAGTTTCTCCCTAAATCTGAATAAATGAGCCAAGTTACTATACATTTAGTTAAACAAACTAACTTTATAGTAACTATTTGCTTTAGATTTTCTTGTATAATTTAGAGTGCAGAAAATTTTCATTCAGATGATCTGCATTCCTGATTATTAAGGAATGGTGATGAATTCCAAGGTATATTCTAAAACAACAGAGATTTTAAAGCCTCTTGAGTTCTGTACTTTGCAGATACTTCTTTTAAACCTTTTCAGGGAGCAAATTATGGTGACTGGTCTTTCTGATCAACTCTAGTAAATCCCTTTTATCTCATGAAAGTTTATAGACAAAACTATTCAAGGTTTGCTTATGCCTGGCCAACGTTAACTTAATAGCTAATTTGGCTAGGAGATATTTAAGAGGATTTACTAGAGATCTTTGAACTCACTTGAAATCAAAATCTCTAAGAAGTGCAGCAGAAAAGTTTAGGCTAGCATCTAAACATCTAGGTTTGTTGGTCAAAAATTATGTCCAGTAGGCTGAAATTCCAGAGGAAGAAATTTTAAGTATCATTTATTTCATAAATGGTAGTAGACTGTAAGGTGTAGCATCTTTCTGAAGCTTGTTTCAGAATGTATTTATTGCTAAATGTGTTCAAGAAAACTATCACTTTTGCTAAGTGATAGATCATGAGAGCCAGAGTATCTTATTCAACATTTAATGGAGCCATTTTAAGAATGGAAATGGAAAGTTTCCTGTTTGCTGTGAGGCTTGGGCATTTTTAGGGGCAAACTGCATTGCCTGTGTTTTATACTGTCATGATGTGTCACTGGCACTTCATTTATTTCTTCTAATTATATAGGGGAAAAGCTTTAGTTCTCCAGTTACACATTTTGAAATTGGGATCTTCATACTTGAACAGCTTTGAAGGATTTGGCCTGTGGTATACTGTTCTACTTGCTTTCGTTTTTACAAACATGTTGGCAAAATACCAAAGATAACTTACTGCTTACTATTAACTACGTCTTATATGTGAAGTATTTTTTCTAAGGTTGAATATGCTAAATTTAGCTTTTTCAAACTTACATGATATTTGACTGGAAGCAACTAGTTTTTTATTGTATAATAGAGACTGATTTGACACTATAATCTTTATCTGGTACTTGGAACCATTTATGAAATGTGGGGGGTGGAAGGGAAACAAGATAAATTACAGCCATTGTTGTATTTGACTTTTTAATGAAATTCTGTTTAGAGATTTTAGAATTTCAGGAGTACTCAGAAGTACTTTATTTACATTCATTTAATCGTTTTCTACATAAGATTCTTAATTAACATTTTGTACTATACAGCCCAATTAGGGTTTTTTTTTTTGGTCTTCATATAAGGAGTGTTTTCTCATTTGTTTAGAGGCCTATGAGATGTTTAGGCTCTCATTGATCTTATTGAAGCTTTTGATATAGTTATGGGCCTAACAGATTATCTCACAATAGCAAGCACAAATACTGGTTTTGGATCAAGAATACAAAATGATTTGTCTTAAATACCATCTACACAGGAAAGACTAGCAGCATTACCAGAATTCTTCCTTCCATTCTTTGCTGAAAGAGAACTCCCTGGTAGAATATATAATATACAAACTGGTGTTAAGATGTTTGTTGGTTTTGTGTTTAAATTCAAGAGGATGTTTAAATTATTTGAATAACATATTTAGCTTTTGAAAAGGTTCATGCATTTCATGCATTTGTTTTGATAACTGTCAGCAACTAATGTAGTCAGACCTGCTGCACTTCAAATAATACCTTCAAATTAATTCTGGGTTATGCTTGTTTCTTGATTCCTTTCAACTTGATCAGAATGCACCACCACTTCGTCTCCGACACAGACGATCACGCTCTGCAGGAGACAGATGGGTAGATCATAAGCCTGCCTCTAACGTGCAAACTGAAACAGTCATGCAGCCACATGTCCCTCATGCCATCACAGTGTCTGTTGCAAATGAAAAGGCACTAGCTAAATGTGAGAAGTACATGCTGACCCACCAGGAACTAGCCTCCGATGGGGAGATTGAAACTAAACTAATTAAGGTAAAAACAAATTTATACAGGAGAAATATATGTGTGTGTGTATATATATACACACAAAGTCAACAACAAAAATTTACCCTGCTATTCCTTTGATGACACACAGGCATTGTCCACTGGAACATAAATATTTGACATAACCTCTTATTAAAGTAACTGCTCACAGTGTGAATCTGTTAAACTGGGACTAAATTTGCCTTTCTGTTGAATGAAGCTTAGCTTCTCAGGTTTGTTGGAGGAACTCCAGATTTATTATGTACTTTTAATTATAAATGCATATTTAGTTTTAACCCCTACTTAAAAAGTAAACCTAAACACAGAACTACCTTTACTCTCTGTCAGTGCAAGATAAAAAGCCCACATTAAAATTTGACCTGTCAAAATTACTTAGTATTAAGCTGCCAAAGCCCTTTCCCTTCTGTCTGTAGAAGAATTTTCCCTGATCATAGAGTAAATGAAGAATCAGGGAAGTAAAAGACAAGACTGGGGGAAAAGAGTTTTTAATTTCATATTCAATTTAGAGGATGGTTTTTATTAAACTATAGTTTCAAATAAGCCTGTACTGTTATTTGAATATGAGGGGGGTGGTACACTCAGAGAGGAAAGTATAGTGTCTTAGAACATTTAGAAATTTCTGGCAGATTTCCTGATCCTAAGCATAGTTTTCATATTATAAATTGAATGAAAAGGAATTATTATTTTCTAAATTAAGAATGTTATTGATTATATTGCATTAGATTTCTTTTGTTTTGTGAGAGAGATGAACTCAAATTTGTAAAGTATTTTAATAGTACAGCCCTGGCCGGCTTGGCTCAGCGGTTAGAGTGTCGGCCTGCAGTCCAGAGAGACCCGGGACGCCCTTGGATGCAGTTTGTCCCCGGCCCTGGTTGGGGTTGTGTGGGTGGCAACCACTCGATGTGTCCCTTTCACGTCGATGTCTCTCTCTCTCTCTCCCCCTCCCACTCTATCTGAACAATATATCGAAAAGAAAAAAATATGTCCTCGGGCGAGGATAAAAAAATAATAATAAAATAAATAAAGTGTTTTAATAGTACAGCCCCAGCAGTCCCAAGCACCGTCTGGTTTTGTGGATTGGCGTTTCCATAAAATAGTAGTCTTAAATTCAATTTGAAATATATATGCGTGTTTATCATTGGGATGTATCAAAATGTAATGGTGACCTTTTCTTTTGACTTTAGGGTGATGTTTATAAAACAAGGGGTGGTGGACAATCTGTTCAGTTTACTGATATTGAGACTTTGAAACAAGAATCACCGACTGGGTGAGTGATTATCATATATACATGTCTTTAGAAGGCTGTTGTTTTCATAGCTGCTCATTCTCAAGGAACAGAATAGCCTGGAAAATTGTATTCTTTGAAGAAGTGTAATGGTATTTCCCTGTTTCTAATATGTTTTATGCAAAAATAATTTATATTGTATTTCTTTTCCCATAGTCGAAAACGAAGATCTTCCACACTAGTACCTGCCCAACCAGATGGTGCAGAGTCTGAATGGACCGATGTAGAAACAAGGGTAGGGGTAAAAATTAAATACTTGTCTGCTTAATAAAAATTAGGGGGTGTCATATTTTAAGTGCTACAACTATAGCTTTTCATGCTCTTTGAAGTAGCTGAAGTCTGATCTCACATTGCCAGTGCAGCCAATAGGCCTGTCCTAGCCAATCTGTGAAGGTATTTATTTTGTATTTCTTTAGGTCTGATCTTACTGGAGCTCTCTGGCTCAAAGCCTCTGTTTTCAGTGTAGAGGGATAGGGCCCAAGAATCAAGTCGGAGAGCATCACCCTAGAATAGCGATTTTCAACTGGTGTGACGCAATAAGTTTTGTAAAATGCAATACCTGACTACTTAGTCAGGGGCACTGATCTCTTTTCCCTTAGATTGTCAAATAAATAAGTAACAACAATTGCCACCCAGTAAATTGATCAAAAGTATACTTTTTTTTGTGTGTACGGCAGAATTTTAGTAATTAGTTTGTGTGCCATGAGATGAAAAAGGTTAAAAATCGCTGCCCTAGAAAAACAAGAATTCACATCAAATTGATGGGAATCTCTCAGAAACAGGACTTAGCTGTGGAGCTGTTAATCATAATGAGAAGCTCGTATGGAAAGAGTATGGAAAGGTGGGGGCCAGGAGGCCAAGCTCTGGCCACTAACTTTCGAGAACTCCTTTTCCTTATCTAAAATGATGAAATTTACCTGGACAATCTCTAAAGACCATTCCAAATCACAGTCTTTGTGGCCAATGTTAAATAAACTGCAAGTATCTGAACAGTACTTGAACAGGTGCCTATGCTGAACTAGAAAGCAAGGTTGGATTTCACCTTGGTGGAACCTATCTAAACAGAATTGTGTTTTATTACCTACTGAGAAGAACTGATCTTTTCCTCTTCTGTAATTTTCCTATCAGTGCTCTGTAGCTGTAGAGATGAGAGCAGGGTCTCAGCTGGGACCTGGATATCAGCATCATGCACAACCCAAGTGAGTACTGGGTAATTGAGGCCTTTAAGAGGACATAAGTGGTTTTTGTTTACCCCTTGGAATATCTGGGCCCTACTGGCAGACTGCAGTAGGCAGCAACAGTGCTGAGGACCTTGGAAGGCTTGATAAGAGCAATTAAAGTGGCAGGAACAGGAGGTGATGGAAGATTGACTCACTCTTGTTCATATTTTGCCAATGCTCAATGCTTTCAGAGGCTGAACTGAGATCACCTATAAGGAGGAGAAGTGAATGGCTTTAGTCAGGGATGGCAGCTCTTCCTGTAATTCATTCTTTCCTAATTTGCCTCTTGGTCTTTTGTTTTGTTTTGTTTTGTTTTTTGGTACGTGCCCCGAGAGGGAACCGAACCCCGGACACTCTGGTCCACAGGCCAATGCTCCAACCGCTGAGCCAAACTGGCCAGGGCATACCTCTTGGTCTTGTTTCAGCAATGAAGTGTTCACTAAAATACAACAAGGGTGGAATTTGTGGTTGGGAAAGGAATCATACTTTTCCCTCGTCTATTAAACATATACCCAAGAGTCTGGCCCATTCTTTTTCCATATTTGTAAAATTTCTTAAATATCTACTTATATAAGTCCATGTGTCCATTTAATACTAGGATAAGCATACTTTGTAACAGTTATTTGCTTTCTCAGAAGGACTTGAACTTTTCCCATGATAAAACCAGGAATTCTCTTAAAGCTTCCCTAGAGATTAAATTGCTCTGAATGTATTATTCATTGCAAAGTTCAACACTAAATGCTGGCTTTTGTGTTTCAGGCGCAAGAAGCCATGAACTGACAGTCTCGGTAATAAAAATATTTTCAGTGTGTTGGTGATTTCTCCAAAACCATGCCAGGAGGAGTTTTCTGAGTCATCCTGTAGAAGTTCAGCTTTGTTGACTCTCACAGACCTCAGCTACATCATACACTGGCCTAGATCAAAGACTCCCCTATGGTTCCAAAGACATCTAGGATTCAACAAACTTTTTATATTATATGCCTTGCCATATTTAATATTAATAGCAAAGAAAGACCCTCTTTTCTCATTGCCGTGTGAACTTTTTAATGATGCTATTTTTGTATATTTCTTGTATACTTATAAACTAATTTGTGCAAGTGTTTGTCTTGGATGATTCAAGAGGAAGATATAGAGATCACACTTTTTTTGTGTGTGTGTGACTTTTCCAGCTCTTGCCTGAATATTTCTTAAGGTTTTATAAACAAAACAAATGCTGCTACTGATTAGCGACAAAAATGCACTTTAGACATTTGGACAATTCAAACTTTCAAAATAAAGATGTCAATGACGGGTCCTGGCTGGTGTGGCTTGGTTGCAACGTCATCCCATACACCAAAAGAAGGGGGGGTTTCGACTCCCAGTCAGGGCACATACTCAGGTTGCAGGTTCAATCCCTGGTCAGGGTGTGTGTGGTAAGCAACCAATGTTTCTCTCTCCCTCTTACTCTCAAGTCAATTTTTTTAAAAGTTACTTTAAAAAAAAAAAAAAAAATGTCAGTGATTGGCCAATACTAAAACCATTTTAGAAATTTATTTTAAATTTTGTGTGTATATAACCACTTTCTAAAGCTACTTACATATACCAAAAGAACTGAAATAAAAAGCACTAAGAAATACAAATTGTGTGGTAGTCATAACATTCTAGCATTGTGCCTTGCATTTAGCTGGCACTCACTGTTGGATGAATTAAGAAGTGGAATGGTCCCGGCCACTGTGGCTCAGTTGATTGAGCAACCAGAGGTTGCTGGTTCCATCCCCAGTGGGGGTGGGACGTGCAGGAGGGCAGCCAATCAATGTTTCTCTATCCCTTTCCCTCTCTAAAATCAATAAAAAAATTTTCCCCCCCAAAAATGGAATGAATTAAAAGCACTAGAGTTTCTCTCACATCGGGGCAACTTGTTTTAGCACACAAAGAAAATGGCTTTGAAAGGGGATGTTTCCTCTGCCAAGAACAAGAAATCTCACAGCCCAATTCACATCTACAACCTGCTGATGTCATGACCCATAGATAATCCTCAATATAGTGTTTGACCTGGAATTCCCCCCCCCCGCCCTTTTTTTAAAATTCAGTTGACTTGCCACTGTTTTAAGAGCAGCGCTCATAAATTTCCAGGTATGGAAAATTTTAATTCTTGATGCTATATGTAACGTAAATCCATATATAATAAATGAAGAGTGGCCTGGCTGGTATGGCTCAGTGGTTGAGCATTGACCCATGCACCAAGAAATCATGGGTTCGATTCCTGGTTAGGGCACATGCCCAGGTTGTTGGCCCAGTCCCCAGTGGAACGGGCGGCCTGTCTATGTTCTCTCTCATCAATGTTTCTCTCCCTCTAAAAAAATAAATTTTTTAAATATATATATTTTTTTAAATGAAGAGGGACATCAGCATCATGGCAGCATGAGTCCTTTCTTTTTTTCTCTCCCCTTTTACTTACAACTAATTTGGTCCATCCATAACTGAACAAAGCGTTTTTGCACATTACACCAGTACACCCAAGAGATTTCTACCTACATGTGCTTCAGGAAGTAGGTGGGTAGGACCTCAGAGGGGACTTCAGATCCAAGGGAGTCAGTGAGCCTGCCCTACCCCCACTTGCAGTGAGGGGGGCTGCGAGGAGTGAAACTGGAGAGTGCAAAACAGCTGGACAGAGGAGGTAGAGAATTTGTGGCGTTTCAGCCAGCCTGATGGGAGAACTGGCGCGTCATCAGGTGGGATAGAGACCAGTTTGGAGGCAGAGGAGGAGTAACAAGTCAGTCCTCCCCAGGTGACTCTGCAACAAGCTGGGCTTCGCCAGCAGTGAAAACAGCTACCTCCCTCACAAAGGAGGTGGAAAGAGGAGGCGTTGAGGAACTGACCACGGGGGCTTGCCTATTTCTCTTTAGTAGCAGGAATAAATGAGGAAGGACCTCATGACTGGATCGAAGGAGAAAGGGAAGGTGGCAGACAAGGATTAAGGGTATTGAAAAAAAAACACTGGTTTCAGCAGGAGGTCTGTGCATGAACCTCTGAGAGTACCTCCATTGGAGGATCCCCCTCCTAGACTGCGGGCAACACAAAGCCCCAAATGCTAAGCACACATTTCCCTTAACCATGCCCAGATTTTTCTACACCAGCTTTTGTTTTACTCCTTCCCGAGTGCAGCCAGCTCCAGAGCCAACTTGGAAAAAGAGAAACCAAAAACTTGAGCTATGGCGCCACCTCCTGGAAAATAAAGGAAGGTTCCTAATCGTTAGTCTGTTGAATTGTAACAAAGTGAACAACTAAGAAAGGTGTGTGCTATTTCAAATGTATCAGTAGAGGCACACTTTGTTGAACACTGAGAAATCATGGTAATTGTTATTGCAAAAATAAAAGTGATAATTCTCCAGCACTTGAATCCAAAGTAGTGGAATATAATGATCTGATAAAGAAGTCAAAATAGCTGAAGAAATTCCACGAGCTACTAGAAAACTCAGAGAGGCATCTCAATGAATTTAGGAATACAATTACTGAAGAGAAGGCATTCTGTACCTAAGACTGAAATTTTTAAAAGGAAACAGACAGGGTTGTGAACACAACAATGTACAGATGTGTTACAGAATCGTGTACTTGAAACCTGTAGAATTTTGTTAACCAGTGTCACCCCAATAGATTCAATAAAAAGGGGGGAAAGACAAATTCTGGAGCTGAAGTCAATGAATGAGATGAAAAATGCATTAGAGCTTAGGGTAAAGGGCACATTAAAGAAAGAAATCTGACTTGGAGGATAGGAATTTAGAAATTAGTTGGGAAAGGAGAGTAAACTAAGATTTTTAGAAAATTAAACCATACAAGAGCCATCTGATAATGATGAGAACAACAAATATAAGAATAACTGGTCTAGCCCTGGCCGGTTTGGCTCAGTGGTTAGCCTGCGGTCCCGAGAGACCCGGGTTCGGTGTCTGCTAAGGGCACGTACCTCAGTTGCAGTTTGTCCCCGGTCCTGGTTGGTCATGCAGGTGGCAGCCATTCGATGTGTCCCTTTCACGTCCATGTTTCTCTCTCTCTCTCTGTTCCTCTCTCTCTCTCCCACTCTACCTGAACAAAAAATGGAAAAATGTCCTTGGGTGAGGATTTAAAAAAATAATAATAATAACTGGTCTAGCCCTGGCTGGTTTTGTTCAGCGGTTAGAGCATCAGCCTGCGGTCCCGAGAGACCTGGGTTTAGTTCCCGCTAAGGGCATGTACCTCAGTTGCAGATTGTCCCTGGCCCTGGTTGGGTCGTGCAGATGGCGGCCACTCGATGTGTCCCTTTTGCGTCGATGTTTCTCTCTCTTTCTCTCTCTTCCTCTCTCTCCCTCCCACTCTATCTGAACAAAAAAATGGGAAAATGTTCTCGGGTGAGGATAAAAAAAAGAATAACTGGTCTATCAGAAGGGGAAGAGAGGGAAAGGGAGCAGAGTGTATTTAGGAAAACAGTAATAGAACTTGCCCTGGCCGGTTTGGCTCAGCGGTTAGAGCGTCAGCCTGCGGTCCACAAAGACCCGGGTTCGGTTCCCGCTAAGGGCATGTACCTTGGCTGCAGTTTGTCCCTGGCCCTGGTTGGGTCGTGTGGGTGGCGGCCACTCGATGTGTCCCTTTCACATTAATGTTTCTCTCTCTTCCTCTCTCTCCTTCCCGCTCTGAATAAAAAATTGAAAAATGTCCTCGGGTGAGGATAAAAAAAAACAAAAAAAACCAGTAACAGAACTTCCCAAACCTGGGGAATAAACTGGACATACAAATCCAAGAAGCTAACAGAACACCTTATTTTCCCAATGCAAAAATAGAGTCTCCAAGACACATTATAATGAAACTTAAAAATCAATGATTAAGAAAAATATCTTAAAGACAGTCAAGGATAAAGAGAAAGTAACCT